AGGCATTTTGTTAATTTAATATACGGTTTAAACGCGTAACTGCCGTTTGACTTGCAAAACTTTAAAATTTAACGAACAATTCCAATTTGAAGTTGATTAGTACCAAATTTAAATTGTTTATTTCCAATTTGATTTTGTTTATTCCCATTTTGAACGTGTTAGTTACCAATTAAAAGTTGATTAATCCCAATTTGAGATTGCTACGTTCCAAATTGGAATTGATTGATCCCAATTTGAAGTTGAAAAGGTATAGTGCCGAAAATGCGACATTTTTGCTTCCAGTAAAGGCCCTATACTAAGATCTTGGGGGCTCATAAAACAGTACAACGTCGGTCTCTCATTCGAACGAATAGCGATAGATGTTGCCGGACCATTTCCTGAGTCAGAGCGTGGTAGCAAATACATCTTGGTTATCATGGATTACTTTAGTAAATGGCCAGAAGCTTACGCTTTTTTCAATCAAGAAACCATCATTATTGCCCAGGTGCTAGTGGACGAAGTTTTCGGATATGCCATCTTTGAGAGAATTTGTGAGATCATGGGTATTCGTAAGACAAAGACAACATCTTTACATCCACAGTCTGATGGCATGGTAGAACGATTTGATAAAACATGGATAAAACCATAGAGGAACACCTGACAAAAGCAGTCGCAATGAACCATCGAGATTGGGAAAGACACTTGCCTCTATTTTTTATGGCTTACAGAGTAGCTGTTCACGAGTCAACAGGTGAAAGTCCAGCTAGAATCGTTTTTGGAAGAGAACTCAGGAAACCTTGCGATCTGATGTTTGGAATACCTGAAGAAGAACAGAAAGAAATTCGAGATTATGCCGACGAAGTAAGGGCACGATTTCTGATACCCAGCTGGCCAGTGATCAAATGAAGACCCAGATACGACTTGAAAACCAATTCAGCCGGATTTCAAGTGTGGCTGTATAATCCAGGAAAAAAGAAAGCAGTGTCGCCTAAATTGTCTTCAGCATAGGAAGGACCCGGACAGAATAATCAAGAGGATCAATGATCTGGTTTATCGAGTTCAGCGCAACACCAGGGAGTAAGATGAAAGTTGTACATCTAGAAGACAGATTGGCGAAATATCTTGGTCGTGAAGTTGATCGGGACGATCAATCTTAAGGGGAGGACAGTGTAACGGAGTTTACGTGCGTCTCCGCCAGAAGATACCGAATCGAATAGAATTCTAGATTTTTACAATGCTCTTCGGGAAAAAGGTCTATCGCATTTATTCTGAATTTTGCAAGAATAGATTACGGATATGTAAAGGCCGATATTAGTTAATAGTTTTTAAGTTTGAAATTGACTGTGATACGTTTTAAATAGGTAGTGATTATTGTAAAAGTTATAAACTTAAGTTGTTTGAGTTAATTAGTGAAGTAATTAGTGTCAGAGTGGAATAAATTATTGTTGTGTTAAATGGACTTTTGATTTTGGAATAAACGAACCCAAGAAGATTTCTGTCACGCACCCCAGATTCGTAACTGTATGTATCTGCTCAACACTTTTTGAGATGCAAATTAGGAAGCAGTGGCGTAGCAAGGTCCTAATGGGCCCGAGCGCAAACCTTTTGATAGGACCCCCACCCAATAAAACAAAAAAGTCATGTTGGAGCGTCATACCCTCCCAAAACCAAGTGATTTTTGTCCGACAAATGTGATGTGATATCGTTAATGACGTTAATATAATATAGAAAACAGTCGATTGGAAATAAAACCACACGTAGGTAGATACATGTATCACCTTCCTTAGGAACGTCAGAACGACAACTTCACGATGAGCTAGCGCAAAAATAGGTTTGTTCGGACTTAGTTCAGGATCAGTTCTGAAGCCGTGTTCATTTTTGTCATCTTTTTTCTCAATTTGCTCCAGAGCTGGGCAAGCTACTTGGAAAAAGTAGCTAGCTACAAGCTACTTTATATTGTAAGTAGCTAAGTTACTCAGTAGCTCAACTACCTCTTTGAAAAAGTAGCTAAGCTATTAGTAGCTTAACTACATTTTGAATTTTTGAAAGCTACTATTTAAGCTACTTTTTTGAAAGTTAAATTGATAAAAACAAAAAAGCGTGCACAATCGCCACCATCAATGTACATACCTTACCTAATTTAATTTCATAATATCATCATACGAAAATAACATACTAGCTTTCTCTAAGAAGTATTCATATTTTTGTCAAAAACCACTGGACATTAATTTATTAGGTTCACTTTGATCACAGTGATCTGCGAATGCGAGAATAATAGGACACATAAAACATAGGTATCTACAGAGATAACTAGAAACTAGTTTAAGCAAGGCAGGATAAGAATTTTCTGGAAAATGATAATTGTAGCTTGAGCAATTAAAGTATAAAGTTACTCTTATCGAGCGGTAAATTCAAACGCGGGCGATAGGTTGGTGGAAACGTGCCTTTATAAAAGGAAAACTGTTTTTTTTAGAAAACAATATCGAATGGATGCCAATATAGGTATTATAGGTATAGTTATTTCATTTTTGAACTAGAAGAGTCCGCTGCGCATAAAACGTAATAAGTATTTTGGGCGTTAAGTATCGTTAACCACACCCTCGGGCGGTAAATAACACTTTCCGCCATTAATACCTAAATAACTATTAACTATCTACCAAAAGTAGCTTGTTTTAGTAGCTAGCTACTTTTCACAGTAGCTTATGAATACTTGAAACACATTACCAAGAGCTACAGCTACAAGCTACTTTTTTTTCAAAGTAGCTTGAATAAGTTATTAGCTACCAAAAAAGTAGCTAAGCTAGTAGCTTAACTACTTGGTAGCTAGCTACTGCCCAGCTCTGATTTGCTCCGAAGTTTTGACAGGCACGTGATTTGTAAATTGAAACTGTCTAATCCAGTCACGTGGCTGTCAAAATTTCAGAGCAAATCGACGAAAATGATGACTAAAACGAACACGGCCTGAAATAAACAGCGATTGCGCATTTGTTCATACCGAACATTATATTATAAACAAATGCGCAAACGCAGTTCAATTTAGAACTGATTCTGAACTTATTCCGAACAAACCTAGTGTTCCAATGCTCAGGTTGAAGATATGAAAAAAATGTCCGATTTTGTGCTATAAAGCCGCTCAGGGACCTTATTTTTGAAACAGGGGAGCAACGTTCTCAGTAGAACGAGTGTTCCTTCTTTCTCAATGATATGCAACTGATAATAATATAAGAAACAAAGACGGAACACTCGCTCTCCTGGGAACGCTGCTTCCTGTTTCAAGAATAAGGACTCAGGAAATTTGACGTGTACATGAGTTACAAAATCCAAAGGTCGATGTACTAGAGACTTCTCCTCACACCAACAAAGCCAAAATCGGTTAGTTTAGGTAGCTTTTTAATATTTTCTTGCATCTGTCGTTTCAATTTGGTCACGTTAAGCCTAGTACTCATAACTGCGAAATTCGCATTTTTTTGACATTGCGTTGACAATTTGACGTTTTATGTGTGTATCGCAGTTATGAGTACTAGGCTTTATAGTCCAGGAGGTGGCGCCAAAAACATGCAAGAGTTTTCGCAAGGCGGATATTTTCAAAATAGGTCGTACTTTAGTGCTAGAATGCTAGTGTACAGTCAGCACTCACAGTTCCGGGACAGCTGGCTCTGGGACGCGGGCAAAGTTGTAATTTTAAGAAGCATCTAAACTGTTTTCTCAAAGCTCAAAATTTATAGAAATTTTGCACATTATCTGTTTGAAGGTCACAGATAACGTATGTAAATCGTCAGACGTCTAGTTCGTTGCAAAAAGGGGGTCAGACGTCCTCAAAGTTTTTATTTTATGGCATTTTCTTCAAATATATTTGTCAAATACCTGCAAAAATATATTTTGACAGGACACCGAAGAAAATGCCATAAAATAAAAACTTTGAGGACGTCTGACCCCCTTTTTGCAACGAACTAGACGTCTGACGATTTACATACGTTATCTGTGACCTTCAAACAGATAATGTGCAAAATTTCTATAAATTTTGAGCTTTGAAAAAACAGTTTAGATGCTTCTTAAAATTACAACTTTGCCCGCGTCCCAGAGCCAGCTGTCCCGGAACTGTGAGTGCTGACTGTACACTAGCATTCTAGCACTAAAGTACGACCTATTTTGAAAATATCCGCCTTGCGAAAACTCTTGCATGTTTTTGACGCCAGCTCCCCAACTATTACGCGTTGCCGACCAAGAGCCGAGAGGATGACATGGAATGCAAAACACAAACGTATTAAGCTTAGTTCATATACTTGCGAATCGCGCATTGCGGGAAAGCGAATAATGATCCTATTGATCGATTTTAAATATGTCAAGCGGTGGGATTGGGAAGCCAAATCAACCAACAGGATCATTATTCGCGAGTATATGAACTAAGCTTTATTAAGGAATTTTCGCAGATTTTTTTAATTTTAAGAAGGGGGCCCTGCAGGGCCTCCTATGTTCCGGGGCCCCAGCGCTTCGCGCTCCCCCGCTCATCGATAGCTACGCCACTGTTAGGAAGTATTTTTTTTATTCATAAAATCTGTTTCTTTTTCTTATTTTAAACAACGTGACATTTGATGATAAAACGTTTCTCCGACCCATGTTTCATGTTTCATGTTCCATGAGATATTTTTTCTATGATGACAAGTTGTAGCTGCCCTAGGAGCTGGTAACCCTTATTCAATACCGACTTATTATACATCACAACACTAGTTTAGGTGTCTTTTATGAATAAGAATATGGGAATACTTAATTAACAATTCTGGTCGATAACCTGTGGAATTTTTAAAACGTGTGGACGGTTCTCGGGAAGTGAGATACTCACATTGCGTACCTACTGTTTTTTTTTTTATACATAAATATGTAATTGTTCCAATGTGTATTAACATTTATTGGATTCGTTAATTTGAAAATAATCTATTTTTAATTAAAGCTTAATTTCTTGTTTGCTTCTCAACCAAAAAATGAGAAGAAGAAACGTTATTATTAGTTTAAAAAATTCTTACCACAAGTAGAGTCTGCTGTTTTCTCATTAGATTCAAAAAAAATCTCATTATTTGTTGGATAAGTGTAACTTTCGAAATTATCCAAAAGTTTCTCAACGTTTTCTGCAATTATATTGTAATCATCATATGCACGAATACCCGCGATGATACTATTTACTATGAGAGTACATAATAGTAAATTTTCCAAACGCATCATTTTGATAGTGGAATCTACCTAAAAAAGAAAATTGTTTAAAAACTATAGTATACTTTAAAGATTTTGATTTAAAATTCATAAAGTTTTATCATACATAAGAATTCTTATCCAAATGAAAAATGGACGATTGTGAATTATGATACTTTTTTCTTTCCTAACTTGTTGATATTTATTAATGCAATGTTCTTGCCCTGTCGGTTTTTTAAAATTAAAGTCACTATCACAATTTATTTTCTTAAATATTTGGAATCCATTTGCCAAGAATGACAGCATACTTTAAAAAAAATCGTCATAACATAACTTACCAATCTGATAGGAATGTAGTTCTCACTTTAAAAAAATAATAAATGGAGAAAACCTAAATAATATTGTAAAACTTTTCCAAGAATCAAGAAACAAAGTATGAGGTTAATACATTTTTTTTTTCCGTTTTTATAATAAAAATCGTTCATCAGAAGCAGGGCCGTATCTAATGTTCCCTAGAAAAACTTTGCAATTTGTATTGGACATTGGAAGCCATGCCAAAACTGTTCAAAAGTTAATCATTTTCGCTCTTTAAATGGAATTCGAACACAATTTATTGTAAAATAACTTACAAAAACTTATTTGTAAAATATTCTACTCAATTTTTATTATCTATAGGATAAAGGTTCTGACTGGTATTTTCCGTTTTAATTTTAGCAGAAAAATTATACTTGGGAATGGATTGTAGTTGGGTATCTAGGCTTAATGCACGATATTTAGTTTTAGTATCTAGAAAGTTACCCCCATTAAGATATGTAGTAGGTATTTCTTCAAATGAGGTGAATTGCTATTTCCTGAAATTTGAGCTCAGATATTTTTTGGAGAATCAATTTTTTATCGGTCAATAAAACTTGCATTTTTGTAAGCATTTGAATACCTTAAGCACGTCTTTTCACCCTGGCTACGGCCCTGTCTCTTAATATTACACAGTAGTTTTCATTAAACATATTTATTATTAATGGATTTTTTCACAGGGTGATACAACCTTATTCATTGATGTTCAATTGACGTTTTTAGGCTTATTTCATTATTTATTTTCATATTTAATATTTTCAGTTACTAATATAGTTGATCAACCTAATATAACTTCTATGTGAAGGCAAGTTACCAAAAATACCAAACTTTGATATTTTTAAGCAGAAATAGTTGGAGTTTATCAATTTTAAAAGTACAGGGTGTCCCATTGAACATGGGAATTGAGATTATCTGCTAAACTCGTAGAGGTTGATTTCACATTTCCGGGCCAAGTTTTTATGACAGGTCAAATCACAGATCTTATGTTAGTATTTCGTTCTCGAGATACAAGGTGAAACTTGAAGTTTCCATTTTTCGAGGGTAGTCATTATCTCGTGTATAAAAAAAGATATCGAAAAGGTTAAAACTGTATCTGACGCAGTTTTTTACTTAAATTTCATTGGCGTGCTGCAATTTTTTATTTCGAGGTACCAGAACTACCAGGAGATAAGACACAAATTTCAACTTTTTTAAAGGGAACACCCTGTACATTTTTACATTTTTAGAATACATAGGTTCCAATAATATGTATATAATTTGTTTATATTATTCCGTAATTTGTCAATATCTATTACTATTAACATGGTATTTAAAACTTTCCATAAGAACCCTTTGAAATCACATTAAAAACTTTTTTTTTATTGGCTGGTTCAATATGTAACAAACTTATAATTTTTTGATATAAGACACCCAGTACATACAATAACAATTTATTAAAACATATATTTTTTCCCATTTCAACGATATAGATATTACACTTTATAGTTACACCTCTACTTTAAGTGCTTTAACGTCAAGAAAAAATCGCTTCTGATTGCAAGGAAAATTGATGTCATTTCGGATTAACCGGTCCGGCAAATATCATAAAATAAATAATTTAATATCTATTACTACTAATGCTCGGTAACTAAATTTAATAATCTATAATCAATTAAATTGACAATATAATATTTGTATGAGTTAAATTCCCAGAAATTTAGAATTATTCTAATTTGGTCTAGTAACGATGAATGTTTATCAAAATTTTGAGAAAGATGATATGTTCAGCACTTATTATCAAGCAGGAAAAAACACTACTTTGGTTCTTCAACAATATCAAATTTGATATGTATGTATCCAGACAGAAAGGCGCTAACTTAATAGAAAGATATTTGAGCGTCTTGTCTTTTGGATAATTTAGGCGAACATGGCCAGTTTTGTAAACCCAGATTAGGAAAGCAAAGTAACCAAGATGATTAAATAAATGTCATTGGTTATAGTTGCATATTCGAACGCATTTTGTAGAGAAGTAGAGCAGAATGTTGGAATAACTTGAAAGCCTGAATCCAGTTCCAGCAGGTATTTAAAAAAAAAATAACCTTATGGTATATCTCCAAAAATGTCACTTGAATGGTAGATTTCCTTCAACAACTAAACTGCTGGACAAATGAAACGGAACAAGCAAATCTTTAGGTTAACTTTGGATTCAAATATCAGGCGAACTAAAAAAGATATCGATGAGCGGTTTGCGGAATTTAAAAGATAATTTAAATCTGAATACGCTGCTTTGGTCCAATTTTCCCTATTCGTAGCGCCTTACTTACTACAGGGTGAAAAAGAAAATAAAGTTTTTTTAACCAAAATTTCGACGTACCGGGTTTCCACAAAACAAAAACAAAATATTTTTATTGGCATTTTTTTAGTCTCTTATTTATAAAGAAAAAACTAATTTCACAATATTTCGATATTCCGCCTCGTTAATGAAATTTCGATTTTTTTCTAAAATGCTGTTATTTCAGGGTTTTTGTGTTGGTAGAAGTTACTGTATTTTGTAAAAAAAGATTTTGGTAGGTAATTGTAACACCCCACTTTTATCTCTCTCCTGTAATGAGTACATTGTAATTGATTTGATTTCTTGGTGAGCAGCGGCCGGCGTACCCATAATCGGTAAGTATCCATTCATGAATTACTTGAAACTCTTATTATTATTCAATTGTCACAACCATTCTGTTGTTGAATTGGCCAATATCCACATAATTTTTTTGTGCATTTTGGATGCTCCCATTACCAACGAAACGTGCTGGCAAACTATGTCAGAAGGGGATTCACCTTTATTCCAGACAAAATAAGGTTTATGAAAACAAGTTTCAAACAACAGTTGTTTGTAATTTGCACGTCTTTCAAACATATTTTTGATGTTGCCGCTTCTGTCTAAATTATCGAAAATGGTATTTTGAATGGAACACCCAGTATGAAATTGCATTTTTTGATTTATCCAAAAATTTGAACAATTTCCTCTACCTTTAACTTTCTTTTTGTGAAATATTGGCAACAACAAAAATATGAAGCCGTTCAAATTTCACGGCCTAGCAAAATTTTGATTTTCAACTGACACTATGTCTAGAACAGTTAAATTTCAGGCTTATTCATGAAATTAAACAAAAATTTTCCATGAAACCCAAAAATAAAAAAATATACAGGGTATTCCATTGGTAATAACAAGGGTATGGCAAGTTTAGAAAGAGACAGCAAATGTGCAATATTAAAAATATTTCTAGAAAATGTGCAAATTAAAATCCATTATCGTTTTCTTGAAACTTCCTTCTTAAAATCCTATGCTTTCTTTAAAAATATAAGGTATAGGCCCCCCTAAGGTGTTCGTTCATTGTTCAACCATTGATTGGTTTAACATTGCAGTAAGTTTACCATGATAACGCAGCTCTTAATTATGGACAATGTCCTCAACTGACATAAATTATCTATCAAAATGGCACCATTGACACCGATCGACACCAAACGAACGCGCCAATATTTTAAGGTTGCCTAAGGAAGATTTAACAAGTAACAATGTTCCGGAAATTTTTGATGAAGTTGTGTCGGCCACAATCATTCGGCTATCAAATCAATGGCTTCTTGATAAGTTTGGGAACCACAAAAACAATGATAACAAAAAAATACATATTATATTAATAACAATACAAGGACAAAATGAATATAACAACATTGTAATAACTTGGAAATCTTATATTGACTGACAATTAAATTTGTGGGTACAATTTTTAGGGATTCAGTCAAAAATCTTCAGGCAATCAAGAAAACTCTTTTTCGCTATTTGGCCGAGCTTTCGGAAATTTTTATTTCCTTTTTCAAGGCTGTTGAAAAACAATGGCTATTAAATAAGATCTAAATTTTATACAAATATAAAAGAACTTACTCATGCAAAATGAGGATAAATAAAATTTGTCAACATTCTTGTAGAAACAAATTAAAAATATCACTTTTATATAAAATTAGTGTAGAAATCTTGTAAAAAAGGAAATAAAAGTAAAAAATTGAGTGTACCTTTTGGCAGTTGAAGATTTTTGACTGAATCCCTAAAAATTGTACCCATAAACATTGTAATATGCAGAGCATTGTGCAAATGATAACATTGCAACTATATAACACATTGTGCTAGGTGGTAGACGCTTTTTACTCATTGGGCGTCGACCGGTGAGATACCACCATGCCAGAATTGAGTAGCGCTAAGTGGTATCACCACGTTCCGCTACTGCGCTGGCAGTCCGGTTCCAACAATGAGTAACAGATAGCATGATGGCGCCTCCAGGATCAAAATATTCCGGAGGTAAAATACCCGACCACTCGGATCTCCGGGCGTCGGGTGATCCTGGGGGTCCTTCATGCAAAGATATAAAGAGAAGATCAAAAACTCAACTCAGAATTGATTTTAGCAATATAAGAGGAATAAGTACAAATATGAATTCAGTTCACCAACATCTTGAAGAACAAAGACCTGACATCCTTGTTCTCACTGAAACTAAAATCAGTTCTGCAACACCAATTGTGAACTATCTTTATCCCGGCTATGACCTACACCACCGATTTCGACATAATTTTGGGATCTGTGTGTACATTAAAAATGACCTTTCATGTCATCGAGAGGAGAAGCTAGAACCAGCGAACCTTGATATCATATGGCTAAAATTCACCACAAAGTCATCGACCAAGTTTATCTGCTGCCTCTACCGACCGCCATCTAACACCGAGTACCAAAACTTTTTCGCGACATTATCCGAAAGCTGTGATAGTATACAGTCAAACTATCCACAGGCGGAAATTGTCTTTTTAGGCGATTTCAACGTCCACAATATACCCTGGCTGAAACACCACAACAAAACAGATAACGAAGGCAGAGAAGCAGAAGCTTTTGCCATAAGTTGTGGTCTAACGCAGCTTGTCGATGAACCTACCCGTATCTCAGAAAGGGGCGAATTTGCAGCGCTTTTAGACTTGTTCCTAACCACAAATCCTGACTCGTACACAATTCAAGTAGATGCTCCACTTGGTTCGTCCGATCATAAACTTATAATAACAAAGTACGAAATGT